CCACCTGTGTTTCACTGCAGGAATCCAAGAGGAGGTTTGACACAGAGGAGGAGTTTAAGAAACGTGCCTACCAATGTGTGGTGCTGCTGCAGAGCAAAAACCCCGACTTCATCAAGGCCTGGGAGCTCATCTGTGACGTGTCACGCAAAGGTGACTTTGCCAGGTCCAGAAATGTGTCTCAACAGTAGAACAACGGGGCTTTCCTCACCTTTATGTCTGAGCCCATGCTCCTGTTTTCTGTTGAAAATCACTGCCACGCTGCTAGGAGAAGCTTAAAGTAAAAAACCAGTGGTTACCACTGTGTGTGCCTTTAATGGAAGTATTTTGTTCTGTTTCCCTCCTCAAGAATTCCAGAAAATCTACAAGTGTTTGGACATCACACTCACAGAGAGAGGGGAATCGTTCTACCATGAGATGATGAAAGACATCGTCAAAGAATTCGAAGATAAAGGTGAGGCTTTTGGTCTCAGGTCAGAATTTCTGCAGCTGTGAGGATGTGTGGTAACCTCACTCCTACTCAGCGAGGCTTAGGGCTGATGCTTTTCAAGTTGCATGTTCCCCACCTTTGCTTTTTCTCTCAGCCACATTTCCTAAATGTGGAATTTTTGTGGCTTTTCCTTCTTTTTGCATTAGCAGAATTAATTCTTATATGTTTCACTCCAGAAAGCTTGAATCTTTCTTACTGACATCAAAATCAGTTTGTCTGTGATATTTGTAGGCAATAGCATGAGGTACTACTGGAATTTATTGTATTCTGAATAAACAGTCAGGGAGCAATTACAGGACAGACTTCCTGGTCTTAGTGTTGTGACTGTGTGGGAACTTTGAGAAATCTCTGTGAAGACAGTGGGATTTTTGGATCATGTTGACTTTGAAACTGGCAAGAAGCCAAATGCAGCATAAGAAGTCTCTGGTTTTATTCCTGTCTGGATTCAGCAGTTCTTGAGTCTCGCTGTCTGAAGTGTTCTGACTAGTCTTACCTCTGAAGGACTTGGTGCTAAGTCCTCATTGCATCTCCATACTTTGTGTTGCCTTTAGTGTCATACCTTGTGATGCTGGGTTTGTGGCTGGACAGGGCGATCTGGATGCCAGTGTTGGGAGTTTTTAAATTAGATCCCTTCTGGTAAGGCCACCTCTGTACAGATCTGCTTCCTTGTGTGTAGTTCTGGAAGTGCTGTACGGAATGTGACTTGGTTGACAAGGGAGTTCCATGTAGGTTTTTTCGTATTTTGAGCCGTTAATTATTTGATCATGTGAGTGTGTGGCCTTTTCGTGCTGGTAGCATCAGGGAAGTGTTTCTGCTGGCCCACAAACCTCCCTACTGTGATACAAGACATGTTTTCCTTTGCTTTTGCAGGGTTTGTCCAGGTTGATGATGGGCGGAAGATCGTGTTTGTCCCGGGTTTCCCTGTGCCGCTGACAATCATGAAATCAGATGGAGGTTACACATATGACACATCAGACTTGGCTGCTCTTAAACACAGGCTGTGTGAAGAGAAGGGTGACATCCTTATTTACGTTGTGGACAGCGGACAGGTGAGTTCCCCAGCTCTGCTCTCACTGCTGGTGCAGCTCATCACAAAGGTGTGTTAAGTGCTGGATGCAGCAGCAACACAGGTAGAACACTACAGGGTCTTTAGTGTTGTTGGTATATCTACCCCTTACCTGAGCAGTGATGGGAATCTGTAAGCTTCTGTAAGCCAGGAAAACTCTTCAAAAGGTTGAACTTTCTGATGGGGAATTTCTCTGTGGAGCTTGAAAAGTTTTAAGTCTCGTTGTGAGAGCGTTGTTGTGAATGAGATAAAGCAGGGAAGAAAACTGCACCTGGAGGAGTGGGCTGAGAACCGGTTTTTGGTGTTTATTCTTTGCAGTCTGTGCATTTACAAACAGTGTTTGCAGCTGGACAGATGATTGGCTGGTATGACCCCAAAGTGACCAGAGTGGCCCATGCCGCGTTTGGAGTGGTGCTGGGAGAAGACAAGTAAGTGCTTGGGTGCAGTTTTGCCTCTGTATTTGCCTTGGAGAGGATGTTTGAGTGAATGCAGGAGACTTGCTCTTGTTTGTTGACAAGTATGTGACATGCCAAAAAAAAACCCAGAAGAAAGCACCTCATCCCATGCTGTTTTCCATTACTGTGTCATTTTGTTGCCTGTCATTGTCCTTGATCCACTGGTGCTGTGGTCACATTCCCTCTTGGGCCTGACTTCTGCTGCCTGGCATCTGGGGAGGGGCACTGGGATTGGCTGGTGGAAGCTGATGTGAATACTGGGAGATGGCAATGGTAAAGGCCACAATTTCCATTACTTTCTACCTTCTTCATAACATAAGTTGGGAAAAGGCTGGCACTGGTAGTGTATTCTGCCTAATGTCTGGAACTAGGACAGTTCTGACTGTGGGAGCCTTCCTGGTCCCACACCTGTGGGTGTTCTCTCAGTTTTGTAGCTGTCTGTGTGATGGCAATTTCTTCAATACAAAGAGATCTGCCATGTGCTTTTTTACTAAGCCATAAGGTGTGAGCAGTGGAAATCCCTGCAAGAGGCTCTGGTGCATGTCCTGGATCTGCCTGGGGTGCCCTAGGCAGAGAGTGGAAGTGTTGTGCCTCTGATGCAGGTGGTCATTTTGTCTGTGTGTTTTCAGGAAGAAGTTCAAAACTCGTTCGGGGGATACAGTGCGTCTCATAGACCTGCTGGAAGAAGGGCTGAAACGAGCTATGGACAAGCTGAAGGACAAGGAACGGGACAAGGTACTTGTGACAGATTGCTTATCTTTCCTGGGAACTGCTGGATACTGCAGAGCTTCCTGGGGGTGGGAGCAGAGAGCTGGGCCTGGCAGGAGAGCTGGTCCTGCAGGAACTGTCAGGTCTCCCCGGTGTGCTGGCAACAGCTGTGACTCCCCCAGGATGCAGGAGGTGATGGAAGAATATAAAGTTTGGACTGTCCAAAATGCTCTGTAAGGGTTGGAGGACCAGGTGTTTGTTATGTGTACATAACAAGAAGCAGGAGTACAGTATGAACATCACACCTGACAGGTGGGACACTGTGGGGCTCAGAGGTCTTGTGGGCTGTCAGAAGAGGGAGTCAGCCTTAGCCTGGGCAGGGCTGCAGTGCAGTTGATTGCAAAAGAAGTGAGATGTGAATGTGGGGTTGTCTGGTGCCCTGAAGTGGAGAGGTGTGTGTGAACTGAGTACCACATGGGTAAAATCCCCTCAGCAGCCTGGGCTTTCCTCTTGAGCCCTGCTGGGTGGCCAGGGCTGCATGTTTTGGTTCATTAGAGCAGCGTAGTGTCCTTCCTCTTGACTGTGATCTGCTTTGAATTTGCACCAGGTCCTCACAGCAGAAGAGCTGAAAGCTGCCCAGACATCAGTGGCTTTTGGATGCATTAAATACGCAGATCTGTCCCACAACAGACTAAATGATTACGTGTTCTCCTTCGACAAGATGCTGGATGACCGAGGGAACACAGCTGCCTATCTGCTGTATGCCTTCACACGGATCAGGTGGGTGAGGGAGCAGGGGGAGTTGGTGCTGATGCTCTGCACGTGTGGGCAGAGGGGTGATGGTCACATCAGTGCTGTTGGAGGTTGGTTAGAGAAGGCAGCTACACTGGTGTGCACCACAGGCAAGATTTTATTTGTCATTGCAAATGGTGTGTGCTCTGCCACCTGAAATGGCTCCTCTGTGTGACACACATCCCAGGGAGGGAGCTGCAGGAGTTTCTGGTAATCAGAGGATTTGGGTGGTTGGAAAAGGGTGCACCTGTGCTCCAGCAACTGCTCAGCTCAGGCATTGCCATACCCCACAGTTTTTCTGGCACCCTGAGCCCTGGTTTGCTTGGCAGCATCATGTGTCCTTGCTGATGTGGGTGCCTAGAGCCCATCCATCCCTGTTCTTGTGCAGTGCCCTCCTGGATCACCTCGAGGGCAGGGCCTCCCCCTGTGTCCCCAAGGCTGATTGATCTCTTTGGCCTGGTCACCCAGGACTGGACATCAGTCTTGGGACAGGCCTTGACCAGGCTGGCACCAGGCAGGCTGAGCAGTGGGAGCCCCACCAAGCATCCCCTGTTCTGGATCATTCCAGGGCTATCGCTCGCCTGGCCAACATTGACGAGCAGATGCTGCGGAAGGCAGCCAAGGAGGAGGTGCTAATCCTTGACCATGAGAAGGAGTGGAAACTGGGCAAGTGCATCCTGAGGTTCCCTGAGATCCTGCAGAAGATCCTGGAGGACCTGTTGTTGCACACACTCTGTGACTACCTGTATGAGCTGGCCACCACCTTCACCGAGTTCTACGACAACTGCTACTGCGTGGAGAAGGACAGGCAGAGTGGTGAGTGCTGGCCGTGGGGTGCTGCGTGTGCCTGCCACTTGTCATAGTACAGACACTCTGCAGGGTGTTCCCCTGTGCTGGGAAGGCTGTTGTCACACTACTTGCTGCTGCAGAACAAGGGTCTGTGTGGAAGGACAGCCCGTGTTGTCATCTGCCTGTGAGCAGGAAGGCTGAGTAGAGTTGGGAGCAGCCAGGCATCTGGAAACACGAGGGCTGGTCAGTCTCCCTGGCTTAGGGAGAGCAGGAGGGGCTCAGTGTGCCAGTCCAGGGCCAGGCTGTGGGCAGAGGGGAAGGCACCATTGGTTGTTCTGAGCAGCTGCTCCAGCTCCTCTGTTGGTGTTTTCCAGGCCAGATCGTGAAGGTGAACATGTGGAGGCTGCTCCTGTGCGAAGCCACTGCCGCTATCATGGCCAAGGGATTCGACATCCTGGGGATCAAGCCTGTCCAGAGGATGTAGCTGTGCCCTGTGGAATGACAATAAAGGGACTGAACAACTGGAGTTGTCTGTCTGTTGGGATGAGGTTGTGGTAAGGGAAGGTGCTCTGGGGGAGCAGCACCCCCTTAGGAGAGAAAGGAAGAGAGGAATGAAAAGCAAGGAGGAAGTAAGGGAAGAAGGAAAAAAAGGATGCGGGGAGGGAGGAAGGAAAAGGAGAAAAAAGGAGTGTGGCTTCAGCAGTCACAGGTACAGAGGCAGACGAGTGCTGTGGGCACAGCTCAGAGCAATTCCCGGTGCAGGATCCAAAGCCCATGAACTCCAAACACCCAAGCGTACCTCCAGGAAACCCTCCAGCCACGTGCAGCCTCCCTCACTCCCAGAGGCAACTTTACTGTGGTGACTTTCCATCCTCTTTACCTTATTTGCCAGGTATGAGCAGGTCACCCGGCCTTTGGTGTCATCTTGGTGCTGCAGGCAGGCAGAGAGCAGTTTTACCTGGAGGAGCAGGAAGCCCAAGGGAGAAGAAGATCAGTTAACTACATTCCCTCAGAGGAAAACACAAGGGAAATGCTTTTCCCCTCAGGAGCAATGTTTTGAATCCCTACGGAGCTGGCAAACCTCTTTGCAGGGTGCATGCTGATCTTGGGGAATTGCTAGGAGCCACAGCTCCTGCCTTTGCCTTGGGATTTGTTGGAGGCTGTGCTGTGGGCCTCCTAAAAAGGCCTTCAGACTCCCAAAGCAGCACAGAAACGCAGCTTTGCTGCACTGATAGAGGTGCTCACTGACATATGCATGTGTGTGTGTATATCTACACATGTATGTATAGATCTATGTAGATACAAGAGATGTGTGTCTATCTGATATCCCAGGTTCTTCCCCCTACAGACAGCTGGAGGAGGGATGGGCTATCAGAGCTGGTCAGTGCCCAGTGCCTCATGTGGTGGGCACCAGCTGGGGCTTCAGCAAGTACAGCCCTGTGCAAACACACTCTCCCAATGGCTGGCCCCCAGACATCAAACACCAAAAAACAAACAAACAAAAAACTAAAACCAAAATGAAACCAACCAACCAAACGAAACCACAGTGCCCTCAAACCCACCCTGCTGGTGACAGCCACACGTGCTGGGGGCCTCACCAGCTGCCCAGACCATGTGCTGTGCTCCCTGACCCCCTCTGTGCACTCACCTGCACCCACAGCCCTGCCAGGGCCGTGCACTCCCTCCTCCCAGGGCTGGGCAGGGCTGGGCAGTGCCAGGACCCCATCCTGCCCTACCTGTGGGAGGTGCTGGGCAGGGCTGAGGATGGCAGTGGTGATGGGTCCTGCTCACAGGGGCGAGGCCAGGCCAGGCAGGGTCAGGTTCAGTGGTGGGAGCAGCGTCAGCCACAGTCCAGCAATGGCCACAGTGCCCGGAGTCCAGGTCTGGGTCCGGAGCAGTGGGAGTGTGTATTCCAGGGGCACAGCAGAGGCTGCCCTGCCCAGAAGGGGGACAGCCTTCTCCAAATGCCTCCCCTGGCAGGGCAGGGGGCACAGCAGCAGGAGCCCAGCACCCTGGGCGAGGGGCACCCTCGCAGCCCAGGGCTGGAGTCAGCAATGCTGCTGGAGAAGCACCCTGGTTGTAGCAGGGTATGTGGGATGAATGTGTGTCCAAGGGTAGCTCAGGGTGCTGTGCAGCCTGACCATGGGGTACAGGACAGCCAGAAGGTGTCAGGACAGCCAGGAGGTGTCAGGGCACCCCAATGGTGCCCTTGGAGAGGGGTAGAGGGATTCAGGCCACTTCTGAGGAAATGGGGACCTGTGGTTGGGCTGGGGGTGGATGGGGTCACTGAGGAGTCCTGTCCAGGTTGATGCCATGCAGAGCACCCCCTACTCTGGGGAGGAGTGTCACTCAGAAAGCAGGGACTGGTTGTGGGAGTCAGTGCTGGAGGAGCCCTGGGGCAGGGCCATGTGTCAGACAGTTCAGGGGAGCCAGGGGACAGTGGCCCCTGCTCAGACAAGGTGCTGGAGCAGAGCACAAGAAGGTCTGAGCTGACTGTCGGGGTGCACCAAGGGCCGATGGTACCGCTGAGGAAAAGGGACCAGGTGTCAGGTGGGATAACAGGGCTGGCAGGGCAGCTGCCCAGTCCCACAGTGCCTGCGCCAGGCCAGACATGGCAGCCAGGGTCAGCCAAAAATCCAGATCATCAGACACATCCACGGTGATGAGGTCCGAGGTAGAGCCAGGAAGGTGAGTTGGCAAGGGAGGTCAGGATCAGGTCCAGGGACAGCAACCAGGGTCAGCCACAGTCCAGCGATCACCAGGCAAGTCCATAATGATGGGCAAAGAGGCCGTGGTCAAGCTGGGAAGTCAGTCTGTGGGACAGGGTCCAGGTTCAGATTACTGGGGTCCGTGGCCAGGCACAGGTATGGCTGTTGCTCTGGCCAGACCCCAGCAGCAAAACCTCAACTTCAACCCACTCTCCAAGAAGGGATGGCCAGGGCCTCTCGGCCAGGGCCTCTCTGCCAGGGCACACAGCAGCCTCTGCCCCACAGGTGCTCTCTGAGCTGGCCCCAAGCCTAAGGAGTCAAACTCTCGTTGTTTTGGGGGATGGATGGGGGAATGGAGGAGCCCTTACAAATAGTTGCAGTAAACCTGCAATGACACTGATTTTCTCTTTGGTGGCACCAGCAGGATTCACACATGTCACAGGCTCAGAGCAGCAGCTGGGCTGGCAGGGACCTCTGAGGGGCAATGGCACAGCTGCTGCTCCGAGCAGCCCACCCACCCCAGGGCTCTTGCTTTGCCCGGTGAGTGACGTACCTGGAAGAGCCTGTTGCACTCCATGATCATGTGGGCCAAGCCCTGCGTTGCTGCCAGGTTCTCACTCAGCTCCCTCTGGTCTGGCTTCCCTAGGCTGCACTTCCTCTGACTGGATCTATGGGAAGGGGAAGGTGAAAGGAAGGCTGAGTGAACGAGGTGCTGGGAACCACACACAGAACACACTGCCCTGAACGGCCCCTGTGTGCCATGTACTAGTGTCACGTTCCTGCAGAGAGGTGCACAGATAGAGCTCCCTCTCAGCACATCCCAGAAGTGTCCAGGGCACCACTGACCAGTAATAATGGATGCCCAAGAAAGGCAAGTGAAAGATTTTATTCCCCAAGCACATCATCACACACTTGGCCAAGGACAGCAACGACCCCAAACTGATTTGTGTGTAGACTTCATATATCAAGCTCCTTTGATACCTGCAAAGCCCATGTAGAACCTTTTAAATCCTTTGGCCCAAACCACACCAAACATGTTTCAGAAACAGTCCCCTCTTTTAATTCATATTCATGATATGACACCATTAATCCTGGCTTCTGAAACTTTTAGCTACGTGCATTCCTGCCAAACAACTTGAAAATTGGGTGGAAGATAATAATCCTCACTGCTGCTCCTCAGAGTCAGACCTGTCAGCTCATCCCCTTTGAAGTTGGAGCCCTGCACCGAGGCATTAATGCACAGCTATAGCAGAGCTAAAGCTTCAAAGCATCCTGGCCTCTAAACACTGACAACAAAGAGAAAACTCCATCTCTATTTTTGGTCCTAGCATTTCCAGAGTAATGTTGATGTAAACCAAAGAGGTACAGCTCTCAGAGTGAGACTCCCAGGAGCTCCAACACCAGAGCAATTCAGCAGGACTTGTTGCTGCTGCCGCTCCATCACATCCCCAGCTGCCCTCTCCTTGTCCCCACAGCTCCCTTGCCGTGTGCTGGCTCAGCACAGGGATGGCCCCAGGCATTTTCAGATGTTTTGTGCCACTCAGGAGAAAACCCTTAGTGTTTTGTTTCCCCTCCCCTCTGCTGTCCAGAGCCTGTAAGATGCCAACAGCACATCTGACAGCTTCTGCTTTGGGGCTAGTCCTCACCTATAGATCTCCAAGTGATGGGTGCACAATGGTTCCATCCCAGTCAGCTCTGCATCCCTGCCCTTGCACGTGCCTGTCCATAACTCTGGAGCACAGAGCAAAGAGAACAGCCCTGCCTCAGGAGGCCAGATAAGGCATGAATGCTCTCAGAGATTATTTGTCTACTTTGGCCCAAGGGCACCTTCCTCCCTGCACGTACAAACAGGGGATGTTATGCAACCCAGATACTTTTACTTTTTAAGATAAATTTACAGAATCCCTGTGGCTCGATTTGGCAGGAATGATCCCCTTATCACCCAGCAGAACCAGCGCCAGTAGCTGCTACAATCTGCCAGGTACCTGCAGGGCCTTGAAGCTGCACCTGGGCTCAGGTTGCCAGTGCAGGAGCACATTTCCAAAGGCCAGCATCACTTTAAAGCCACGAGCTGGTTCCTGGGCAGCTGGACCCATGCACAAGCACAGGGAATACAGCAGTGGTGAGGGACACACACAGGCTGGTGAGGAGAACAGCAGAGGTGCCTCACCACTGCACTGGGCAGTGAGTGGCTGGATCTCTCCATGTGCTGCTCCTGCTGCACCTGAGCAACCAGATTTAAGGCAAACCCCAAGACACACACACACTATTTCCCCCTCAAAAGCAGACACTGACCCCAGGCCAGCTAAAGAAAGCATTGCTCCAGCAAAGGAGACTGTGGACAGCAGCAGTGCCAGCATCAAGATGTCAATACCTAGTGGAGGAGGAGGAACTGTCCCGCCTCAGGGTGTTGAGGTGAAACAAAGAAGGTGCCAGACAGACAGCAATGTTGGTTGGGGTCATCTGGTTTTCCTCGACAAAAGCGACCACGTCTCGCAGGAAGAACAGGAGGATTTTCAGAGCTTCTCGGTTTTCCTCTGGGAGAAGGAGAATGGCAGCCTGGACAGCCTGGAGCTGCTGATCCTTTGGCACGTCTGGAAACAGAAAAAATGATGAAAATCACACGTGGCTTGCAGAGGCAGTAAGAGAAATGGTACGTTTGATGTGACGGCCTTTCCTTGTCTCCTGTGAGTTAGGGACAGGGAAATGGATGAACCTACAAGCTCAGTGCCCTGCTTGGAACCCTGGATGTACAGGATAGCAGCAGCCTGTTAACTTATGTCAAAAAAGGTCACATTATTTAGGCTGCAAAACCCCTCAGAAATCTCACACTTTGCCTTCCTAAACCTTCTCTCAAAAACAAGACCATCATTAGTCCCTTCAGCAAGTTCCTTCCCCAGCGCAGCTGCTTTTTGAAAGTGAATTCCTTGAGGGCAAAGTACTGGAGATGGAACCTGTTTAAACTGTATCAAATGTGAGATTTCAGCTTCATGTTTCCTCCTTTTTTGGGGTTGAGTCTCAAGGACAGTAACAGGCAGAAAGCTGCAGGCATTTCCTGGCAAAGAGGCTGTTTCACAGCAGCTGTGCTCGGGCACCCTAATAAAGAGATGTCATCAGTATAACAGGACTTCTTGCACAAGGAGCTCTGTCATACCTCGAACAAGGGGAACAGATTAGTTCTTTGTTTCACATAAAGAAATGACTGTTTAAAAATGCAGTTTAAGGGGGCTGCTGCAGCATGTTATTACACTCACCCTTCAAGGAACAGAAACAGGTGGCCCATAGGATGCAGATGGGAAGCTTTGAAGTCCAGAGCCACAATTAACTCATCTTTTCAGAAATGTCCTGCCTGACCTGTCTCCTCTGACTACAAGGGGACCTGGTCCTAGTCTGAGTCTGGCCACTGCCTTGAACAGCTGAATATCAAGATATCCAAGGCATTGGAAAACTGTATCTTTTGTTACCTACATTGGTAGATGTGGAGGAAGGATTCACAGAGCCTGCTGGTAAATATGGGCTCGGGGAGGTCTCGGAAATACTGCTTCACCATGTCTGCCACATCAAATGCTGACTGCCCCTCGTAACAGACGTTGTTTGGGTTGGTTTCATTCATTTCTCTTAAAGACAGGATCCTGGATTTAACACCAGATTTTCGGAACAGGCCAACCTGTGGGTAAAAGAAAATATTGGAGACAAAGAGAGGACTCATCAGGCATCTAAATTCTGACAAAAAATTGATGCTTCACATTCCTTTGATAACAAAGACCCTCTGACAGTGGGACCTAACACCAAAATACTTTTGTATGATCAGAAGCAGCACAGACATTCCTCCCAGGGCAAACCATGCCTGATGCCCACAGAACCACAATATATTAACTGTCATGTTTGTTTTCTTTTTATTTAATGCAAAATTACTCTTTTTGACTTTTACAATCACTGCTATTGACATCTGTCTGTTTGCTTTGCCAGGCTGTGTTCACACATGTCAACTGCAAGTTTCATATACAACAATATGTGTCCATCCAAACACAAACACACATCCATGCCTGTGCTGGAACAAACAAACTGACTCTGAGATCCACAAGGCTCAGGTTTAACACATCTGATACATCTAATCCATCCACAGGCTGGCAAAGGGCAGTTGCCATCCTGAGGGAAATTATGATTTTATTTTTATTATAATTTAATATAATAATTAAATTATTAATTTAATATAATTTATTTTAATGTAATCGTCAATCAGGTTTCAGGCAAAACCATGATTTAGAAGTTTCCCATGGACTCGATCCCAACACAGCTTCTGCTGACACTTTTGCTTTGTGCCACCGAGACAGTATTTACATTATTTGGTTTATTTATGTTAACCCAGTGGGTACCACGACCTCAAAACGAAACACACTTGAAACTGTCACCTCACAGACCACACACACTTTTGTACTTTGGCACTATATTACACACCTAGACAATGGCAAAGCACAGGAAAAGAAAAAAGTCCTTTCTTTAACTGATGTGTCTCATGTCCCAGGGTCTCCCATTTTTGCAGCTATCCTGTGAAAATACCACATTCAGCACACACTCCCACTGCCACCTCCACTTAGGGGATAAATACGGAGCTGAGATCCAGAAAAAGATGTTACAGGCACTGCTGTAATAAGTTTTCTCTCTGCTTAGTGGAACATTTCAGCTGAAACAAGGTTAATTTTCACATTAGCTCTGGCACTACCAGCAACCACAGAGCAGAGGGAACAACGACATTGTCTGGCAGATTTACCTCCTCAGGGAGCAGAGACATGACACCTCCCCAGGCAAAGGCAGCCTGGCTGCCTGCACCAGCTGCAGAGGGCTTCAGTGAGGCAAGGCACAAAACCACAATACAGGACTAAAGGCATTCCCAGCAGGAATCAGCGCTGCTATTCCTCTCAGGCTCACACCTACACCTGTCTGCCTGTTCAGAGCCTCGGGGGGCAAGAAAGTCCTTCAGAAAAGAGGGAAAGCAGAGTCTGGTTCCCTGGAGCAGATCCATTCGTGGCCTAGAGCTTCTCTGGGCTGCCTTGAGTTCATACCTGGTCAAGAAAGTGGCTTCTCAGGTAGTCCAGGGCTTGCAGGATCCCGTTGGGCAGTGGGTGGCTTGTTCGCTGCACGTTCAGGAGTAAAGGAACCCCAAACACGTTTTTGTCCTTGTAGTCAGAGGCTTTTGGTTTTTTAATGAACTTTGGTATGGTCCTGGAAAGAAAAAAACAGGACATGCAATGTATTAGGTCCCCAGCACACCCTGCCTGCTGCTTTATGTGCATGGGAAAGCATTTAGTTGTATACCTTGTCACAACCCAAATTCTGCCACAGACCTGTACACACAGCACCATCAGAGAGACAAAATCAGTCAAGGTGATTGCAGGGATGACTTCCTCATTTCCTTACAGAAATTAGCTTTAAAAAGCATTCTCATGGGAAATAAATCCCATCCCTTTAGGGCACTGCAAGCTTTTTTCACTTCTTTCTGTGTTCAAGCACCAGCTCCCTATCACAAGAAGCTGGCTGATGTTTCTAAGCCATTTAGGTGTGTGACCTTGTCACAGTTTTAGTTCAGAGACTGAAGAGCTGCATTCTCAGCCCAGCCAGCTCTCACCTCAGGTCCTGCAATCCCTGTGAAGCACCTCTGACAAAACCTTGAAAACAGGCAAATTTAAAGAGAAACTACAACGTGTTTTAAAATCAGTAACAGCACGACCACTAGGGAGGAGCCCAAGTGCAGCCCCACAGCAGAGGAAACCCTGGAGCCATGGAAACAACCATGAGGCTGCCGGAGATTTAATGGGATGAAATTCCTCACGTGTAATCTAGACAGACAAGGGAATTCACCTGCTTACAGCAAATCCTCACTTTCCAGCACAGGTTGCTTTAACATTAGACGACTTACCAGTTCCAGCCCTGCCTGCTGGAAGGGGAATATCTGTCCATTAAAGCAGTGAGTTTCAACAGTGCCAGCTTTTGTGTCCGGGCCAGCTGGGCAGCAGACTGGCCATCACTCTGCATGGAAAGGCTTTCCAAGTTCACACTCTCTTCCACAGACCAGTGTTGCTTCCTGTGCCTGTGGGATAAACATTGCTCAAGCTTAGGATCATCCCCATCATCCCCATTAGTTTTCTGTCTGCAGCTGTGAGGCACCTAAGGCTCTAAATGACCTGCAGCTGCCAAACACCACATGGTTAGCTGCACTCAGACAAGGTACTTCCCATCCAGGAGGTCCTCTGGTAATACCAGCTCTTTCCCTAAGAAATACAGCAGGCTGGCAGTAAGGCCTGATTCCAAACGTCTGCGTGCTCATGCAGATCATGAGTGTCCTGCTTTCAGTAGAGGACAGATGTTGTCACCAGAGTAACTACGGACTGGTGGCACCTGGCACCAGCAGTGCAGACCCTGCTGCCTAGAACAGACTTGAGAATACTTTGTTCTGGCAAAGCAGTTACATTTTGAGTGGCCAGAATCAAAGGGGAAACCCAAGGATGGCTGACCTGTTGGCCTTTTTAGAGTCTGTGATGTATGTCAGATCTGCAGAGCCAATCTCCTTGCCCAGGCCACAGCTGCTCTCTCCCTCAGTGCCCCCTGCTCTCTTGTCTTCTGAGCCCTCCGTTTCAAGAGAGCTTTCTTTAGGGGAGGATGGACACAAAGAGGTCAAGTCACTGGCAAAGTCAGAATCCCCATCATCTGAGAACTTCTCTGTCCACTGATCAACCAACTTTTTGAGGCCGTTGACATCTGCTATAACATTGTTCAGTTCTGAAAAAACATCATCATCACCGACTTGTGCCGCCTCCAGGTTGTCAAGGTCCATATTGGGCATGTTGTCATACACACTTAGCCTGTTACAGGAGCCTGAAAGGGGACTCCTGGGGGCTTTGGGCTCCTTGGAACCGCTTCTGCTCCGGCTTCTCCTGCACCCGTGAAAACTCCCAGTTCTCCAGTTGACAGAAGAGTTGTCTGCTGGAGAGAGGGAGCTGTCTGTAAGTGCTGTGGGGAAGGTGCCAGGTTTATGGCCTTGTGGTATTTGAAACATCTGAGATTTTTGTAATGTCATGTCATTTTTCAGGTTTTGCTGAGATAGGTCATTCCACAGCAAGAGCTTGCTGGAGTCTGTGTGCTCTGCACACATCCCCCTTCCCTCACAGGGGCTGCCTGGTTTTATACCAGGACTTGGAGTGCTCACTGTGCTGCTTTTTCCAGACTGACTGCTGCTGCTGTGACTCTGGGGAGAAAAGGAAGAACTGTCCTTTGTTTGGATGCCAGAGAGGTCAGAAATATTCACACAGTTCAGCATCTTCATCTTTTCTTCACTAAGCCCTTCTAGAAGAACAGGTTCACTTATTGTGGGTTTGGCCTTTGACTGACCACTCCTTAA